TGTAAAAACCTGTTGCTTGGTAATTATTAAAAATTCCGGTAACCATGGAAATATACATAGTAACAAAAAGATAGATAAAGATAAAAGTTAAATTCAACAGCATTTGTTAAATGTGGAACGTACTTTTTCGAAATGTCAACATTGATGTCATAATCCAGAATTAATGTGCGCACTACACAAATAAATAAATATTTCAGTCTTTAACTGCAAACAATTTAGTGCCTGTGTAATCACTCTTCTCGCGCAGCGTGTAGTATGCGGTTAATAAACTCCTGCTGCCTGCTCAATCTGTACCGGTGTTCAGTAAGCCATTGATTTAATATGTCCTTGAACTGTGCGTATCATAGCTGTATTTATTTGGTACCTGGAAAAGTGTCCGTTGTTGTGTAAAGCTCTAGGTATTCCTGGAGTACCAATTCTTGTTCGTCTGTGTCTGGACCCCGAACATGTCGTCCACTATTTTCCTGGAGCCAATATCCACTGTCTCTAGCCCTTTGTTGGCGTCAGTTGTTACAGCTTCTGCTATGTTACTGTGGTATTTCCCCAGAACTAATCGAATATCAGCTTCAAAGTAAGTAACAGTTTGACAAAGTATTGTTATTATTGACAAAGGCTATCTACCTGTAATTATCTGTTGATAAGAAAAAACTGCGGCTTTGACTTTTCATCAAACAATTGTAGAACAGAACTTTTTCAATATAAAAAAATTTCATAATATGAAGCAAAGATTGTAATTGTTCTTTTCGAATACTCAAGTATTCCAATATGCTACCAATTAAACATGGGACAATTTTAAAATAATGCATAATAACAAAGTAGAAATTCGATTTTCAACTGTTAATATCTTCTTAAAATTTTATACAAAAATTTTTTCAATATTTTTCTCCCCCCGCCCTCTCCAAGTGAGGCCCTATTACCCCTTAATAGGAATGACGCTAATTTTGAATCACCCTGTATATATGATTCATTTTCAATAAAAAACGGCAATGTGATATGATATACAGGGACCTGTATGAAAACGGACCATAAAATTTTTACATGATTTT